GAATGAAATCTATTTACTCGTTAGGTAGTATATTAAATACATTTCAAAAAGAAATTTTTAAATATTGAATTTTCGTAGATTAAGTTCTCAAATTTCCAAATCTCAAATTCCAAAATTCCAAAATTCCATAATTCCCAAATTCTCAAATTCCCAAATTCCCAAATACCCAAATTCCAAAATCTTAAAATTCCATAATTCCCAAATTCCCAAATTCCCAAATTCTAAAATTCCTAAATTCCCAAATTCCAGAATTCCAAAATTCCACAATTCCAAAATTCCAGAATTTCAGAATTCCAGAATTCCAGAATTCCAAACTTCCAAACTTCCAAACTTCTAAAATTCCAAAATTCTTAAACAACTAAATTCCCAATTTCACTAATTCCCAAATTCCTACTTTCTCAAAATTTTAAATGTCGATACTTCCAAATATTTAAACTTACAAGTTTCCAAATTTGGATATTCCTAAATTCTCAAAATCCCAAATTTCCAAAGGTATAAACTTGCAAATCTCCAAATTACTAGATTTCCCAGATATTTAAGTTTTTAAATTCTTCAAGCATTAAAAATATTACATTTCCTAAATATTTAAATTTCTAAACTCCAAAGTTTTCAAATACTAAAATTTCCGAATTTTCATATTTAAAAAATTTACAACATTTTTAAATGTTTAAGTTCTCAACTTTCCAAACTATTAGTTTCCCCACATATTTAAATTCATGGATCTCAATATTTTTTAAGTTTCATATTTTCAAATTTCCATATTTCCAAACTTCTCCATTTCTATCTTTCTAAATTTTAAATTTTGTAAATCAGAAAAGATGAAAGTACTTTTGCAATAAATAAATATGAAAATAGTTTGATTGCAATTGTATTTTAAGCTGCATTTGTCCGACATATCTGGTTTCTTTAAACGAAAGATTTTGGTCTTACAAAAGTTCCACTTGAATATCAATATATGCAGTTTTGTCATATAACTGTTGTTTTTGCTGGACACATATTAACGATTATCTAAATGCGTTGCTCTACTTATAAAATTAGGAATAAACTCCGCTAATAATTTACCGTATTCCCTATCACCATTAACTTCATACATCTTTCCATTGTTTCCACTTTTAATCGCCACATATGTAGCAACAAATTCCTCTTGGCAACAATATTTTCATAAATTTGACTACAATTAACAATGCCAATAATATGTCTCGTATTGCAACAAGAAAGAAGACCGAATAAATCGCGTAATGAGGTTCGATAACTGTTATCGATTCAATAGCGCCGCTTTATTCCGTTCCATAAACAATTTCCATCCGATACAGATTATTATTCCATAAACAATAATCTTCTCAGGCATTGCACTCGTAATCGCTTGAGAAAATATTGGAGTAATCATCTTATGAAATATACAGCTTATTGAAAAAAGAGGAAATTATCGCTTCTGCATTACTCAATGATCTTAAAACAAATAAAACTTTTATTAAAATGATGTATAACAGAAGTGTCATTTTTTTATGACATTCAAGACTTTAATTCAGGCAATATTGATTGAATGTAATCAATTTTACTTTAATGTAATAAAATATAAACAATAGGCCCTAGTTTTCTTTTGATGTTATTTTAAATGGTTTACTAAATTCTACAGTCATATTTATTAATTTTCATCACCATTATAAATTTTCAATTTTAATTAAAATTCAGTCAGAAATAATTCTTTTTTGTCAAACGGTTTAAATGATCAATTCACAAAACAGTACTAAAGGTGATGTATTATACATATCACAACTATAATTATTATCAGATGAATAAAACACATACACAATACTAGAAAAATGCTGGAAGCTATTTACGCGTTCTACTTTCGTTATTTAAATACAGTCAGTGTAAAAAGTATTCGTACAGTAATTTCAACAAAAATGTTGTGAAACGTCATTTATTAACAAAATTTGAACAAATAAAAAATACATACATATTCTTAGATGTCTATGTATTCTATGTAAGAATGTGTATGTATTTTTTATTTGTTCAAATTTTGTTAATAAATGACGTTTCACAACATTTTTGTTGAAATTAATTACTGTACGAATACTTTTTACACTGACTGTATATGGATATTGTTTTTGTCATTACTTAAAATATTGTATATTTATTTAAGTGTTTCATTTTATTGTTTCTTCTAATAACCCTATTCTACGCTAGAAAAATAGTTTTACTTAATTCCCTACAAAATGATTAATGCTACTTTCCTTATGGAAGGATAAAAGTAACAGGAACAGTAACTGCGGAAAAATAGCCGGTAAATTACTCATCCCGGAGAAACTAAATATTGGTAGACCAATACTTTTCTCATGGTATAATTCTGATTTCTATACTTTTAAAAGATGATTGACAAATCGATTAAATGCGAAAAGTGTTACTGACCCCAGCACCCTCCTACTACAGAAGACAATAAACTATCGAATGAGCGTAGAATCATCTGGTTATAGTACTCGCGAAGTACAATTTTGACTCACCCTGTACATGGCCTCAGCCGTACTGAATCGCGGCAAAACTCAAAGTTCCAGACGAATGACAACGAAAGGAATGGCTACGAATCATGGTTCCCTTGAGTCGCTAATTTCTGCTGGTTGCGGCCAGTAAAACGTAGTTAATCGTCGAGCTCGTTTGAAGGGATCGTTGGTGAAACAGCAAAATGAATAGCCATGGTTATTTGGCTGGAAAGGGTGGAACGGGCCGCTCGATGGGGGAGAACGCGAGCCGAGAGGTGGAGGGCGGACTGTCATAAATTTAAGCAACAATTAACATTCAGAGTCGGTCTGTTCCCACAGACCGCCATACGTATCTGTATCGCCGTGAGCGGCC